TCTAGGGAGGCTGTGGATGCCCCATGGAGGCTGTGGGTGCCCCAGGGAGGTTGAGGATGCCCTAGGGAGGTTGTGGTTGCCCCAAGGTCAAGGATGCCCCAGGGAGGTTAAGGATGCCCCAGGGAGGTCGAGGATGCCCCAAGGAGGTTGTGGTTGCTCAACCCTGTCACTGTCCATTCCAGCTTGGCTAAAGCCTTGCCCAACCTTCTCTGGTGGGAGATTTCCCTACCCACGACAGAGGTTTGGGACTAGATGATCTCTAAGCACCACCCCAACCCCTTAACCCTCTCCAGTTCCATGACCTCCTAACCCCTCCACTCCCCACAGGCCTTCACAGGCAGCCTGGAGCTGACGGAGGGCAGGAGCAAGTATGAGGAGCTCTGCATCCCCCTCTGCATCATCCCTGCCACCGTCTCCAACAACGTCCCCGGCTCCGACTTCAGCATCGGTGCTGACACCGCGCTCAACACCATCACCACGGTGAGCACCTCCTCCCTCAGGGAGCCACCAGCTCCTCTGAACCTCCAGCTCCTCTTCTCACCTCAACTCTGGGCCCTGCACAGACCTGTGACCGCATCAAGCAATCTGCAGCCGGGACCAAGCGCCGAGTCTTCATCATCGAGACCATGGGAGGCTTCTGTGGCTACTTGGCCACCATGGCAGGACTGGCAGGTGGTGCTGATGCTGCTTACATCTATGAGGAGCACTTCAGCATCCGTGACCTGCAGGTTGGGGTCTTCTCTCTCTCCCCACAACACCTCCAAGTCCTCATTCCAGGTGGGATGTGTTGGTTGCTCCTTCCAAGCTCTTCATGCGTCTCATCCTCCACCTAGGCCAACGTGGAGCATCTGACTGACAAGATGAAGACGACAGTGAAGAGAGGGTTGGTGCTCAGGTGTGTCCTCAGGGTGGGGTGAGGGACAGGGCTGAGATCTGCTGTGCTTGGGATGTTCCTCCTGGAGCTCACCTCCCTCCCCCCTGGGGCAGGAACGAGAGGTGCAACGAGAACTACACCACTGACTTCATCTACAACCTCTACTCCGAGGAGGGCAAAGGCATCTTTGACTGCAGGAAGAACGTGCTAGGACACATGCAGCAGGTGAGGAGCCCTCTGAGATGTGGCTCCAGGTGTTTTTTTTACAGGGGAAGCATCACCTAAGGCTTCTCATTTATGATGTGACTTCTGGCACAGGGTGGGACCCCAACCCCCTTCGACAGAAACTTCGGCACAAAAATGGGTGCCAAGGCCGTGGCATGGATCACTGCGAAGATCAAGGAGTGCTCCAGGCATGGTGGGTGTCATCTTGATGCTGCTCCTGGCACAGCTGCACTGGGATGGGTTTCCACTCTTCTCCAAAGTTCTGGGGGGTCATCTTGGTGCTCCTCCTGGCACTGAGAAGAGTTTCTACTCTTCTCCAAAGCTCTGGGTGGTGGTTTAGAGTTACCCCAAGCAACCCCCACAGCTCTTTCCCAATGTGTCCACCACCTTCCAACACCTCCTGCAGATTTTGGAGCTCTCCCCACC